CAAGATGGCTGCCCCCAGGTTAGCCGCCACAAGATGTCCGGCAGGGGAGGGCAGTTGAGGGGAACCAGGCCTGCAGGGGAGGGCAGTTGAGGGGAACCAGGCCTGCAGGGGAGGGCAGTTAGGGGGGACCAGCCCTGCAGGGGAGGGCAGTTAGGGGTGAACAGGCTGGCAGGGGAGGGCAGTTAGGGGCAATCGGACCAGCAGGGGAGCAGTTAGGCATCGATCAGGCTGTCAGGGGAGTGGTTAGGGGGTGATCAGGCTGTCAGGCAAAAGCAGTTAGGGGCAATAAGGCTGGCAGGCAGGCAAGCAGTTGGGAGCCAGCAGTCCTGGATTGCTAGAGGGATGTCCGACTGCCTGTTTAAACTGGCAGTTGGACATCCCTTGAGGGGTCCCAGATTGGAGAGGGTTCAGGCTGGGCTGAGGGACACCCCCCCACCATGCACGAATGTCATGCACCGGGCATCTACTATATGTCTTATCATATTATTTTTTTCTTTATCGAAGATTTCCTCCTTTTATACTTTTCCCCCTTCATTCTTTCCTTTCTTCTACCCATCTTTCCTTGTTTCCTTTCTTTCATGTTAATGTATAATAGGTTAAAAATGTAAAATATAGAAAATGTAATTAAAAAAATAATAAAGCCCAACTGGTTTGGCTCAGCAGTTGAACACTGACCTTTGAACCAGGAGGTTACAGCTCGATTCCTGGTATGGGCACATACCCGGGTTGCAGGCTGGATCCCCAGTGTGGAGTTTGCAGGAGCAGCGGATCAATGATTCTCTTTCACCATTGATGTTTCTATCTCTCCCTCCCTCTCTTTTCCTCTCTGAAATCAATAAAAAATATATTAAAAAATAAAATACAATAAAATCCATCCATGTACTAGTATATATTTCTCTTATATTAACACTACATAACTTGAGAATGAATGAGTAATTAACATAACAGATGTGGACAACATATTGGACTCCTGAAACTCATTTGTAAGATTTGCTCGCTATTTAGAAAGTCAGGGCAATGGCCAGTTCAGCTGAAATTTTGCTGCTGCTGCTCGTTTATAAAGGGCTCTTGAGAGTGAATGTCCAAATTTAGTACATTAATCTATAGTCATGGTTAATAATATCAGTGGAGAAAAAGTATTAATTGTTTGTTTTTTGTTTTTACCCCAGCTGCATCAGATTCTCATTTTATAGCACATTGGTTCATGTAAGGTCTCCTCCTGTGTGTGTGTGTGTGTGTGTGTGTGTGTGTGTGTGTGTGTGTGGTTTTTTTTGTTGTTTATTCAGTCATTTATTAACTCATTCCTTCTTTATCTCATTTTCTTTTCCAATTCCCTTTTTTTCACCATAAGTAGCTATTATAATTTATGTGATGTATTTATTTGTAAAATGTGTAATGATAACTTGTGTCAATATTATTTTATGTATATAAATGTCATTGCCCTATAGATCAGATCCTCTTTCTCACTTGTCTTTACTTGGCAAATGATTTCAAAATGGTTTTACCTTTTGACCTCAACACCTATATGTCTGTTTCCTGCTAACGCTGTGGAGTGTTTTCAGCATTTTCTTCCTGTCATTGTCCATTTCTCCTGAAACTTACACCTCCCACAAATAAATACTCAAGAAGATTTCCCGGTCATTGGGTGTAAATGAGCTTAATTTAACAATATTCTGCCACATTGCCCTCCAGAGTGGTTGCACTTCTCTGCATCTCCATCAAAATAATCACATGTTTGTAAATTGTAAATAAGCAGTTGTTTTATTTTTCATGTTGATGTATTCTTTTCACATCTTAGAGTGGGGATAAAGCTGAAAAACCATCTAGCAAGTATAATTTCCCTTGAAGTAAAGTCCCATAATCCCACATATGGTATTTTCTAGCTTTTGATCTCTTTGAATGATGATAGTTAAGTAATAGTAACATGTCATTCTTGCTAATTTATACTTTCTAATCACTAATGAGTATGGGCTTTTCTTCATATATTTATAACACTTTTAAATTTTCTGTAAATCATCTTTATTTTACTAATTGCCGAGATATTTCTGTTTTTTTTTCCACTGGAATGAATGTATTTTATTACTTTATATGACAGCATAAAATATTAGCATATAACAGCATAAAGATGGTGATCATTACAAAGGTGATGAATTGTGTATCACCTGCCACATACAAGGAACTGGAAAAATATCTTTGAAATAAGTAAATAAAGGTCTTGATCTTTTGTGTGATATATGAGTGGATGTACAATAACCTATAAAAAGTTTGACTGTTAACTCAATAATTTTAATATATAGATGTTTTTGCAGTAATGGCAAATATTAAATATGGACAAAGAAATAACATACATGAAATTTTGTGTTATAAAGATAAGAATAGATTTGGCAGTTTGAGGAACATATAAAATTAAGTAATCCCATAAAATATGAAAACACATTTGAGAATCTTTTATGTGGATTGATTTTTTAAATTCGAAAATTAACCTATTATTATACTTTTAAATTTTGATAACCTTTTAAATATAAGATTTTGAACACCAAGTCCTATCATCACTGTTGCACATTCAGCAAAATTTAGATTATGTTAGTTTTTCTAATAGAAACTATTAGAATAGGTACTTTCTAGGAATATAATTGAAGAATCATCTGAACACTCTCAAACTTGAACAATTGGCTAACATATATGTTGATAAATTTTAAATACTATAAAATGTAATTATTTGCTCATAATGCTAAGTAATAGGTTTAACCATTTATGTGTACAATGTCTTCCAGGAATTATTTCTCAAAGTCAGAGTAAAAAGTTATCTGAAGTTTGAATATGCTTACATTCAAATCAATTAAATGGTAAAAGACTGTTTTAGTGAACTATATTTCCATGTAGTATAATAATTTTCAACAAATTTTTGCACGCCTTTTACAATAGAATTTTACAATTAACATTTTTCAAAATTACTGTATTTGGTGTCACATGATACTTAATTCTCAAACTGTTAAAACCATCTAATGAATTGATAAGGAGTTATTTGTATATTCACTTGGTTATTGTAGTGTGGTTTTTGTAGGATTCGTAGGAAGTTGGAAAGGCAATGCAAAGGGGAAGTGTTAACTAAATGACTGTTCAAGTAGTCACGTTCCCTGTGTTATCTGATACTCACCTTTGGAACCAAGAATAAGGATAAAAGAACTGGAAAAATCTTTTGAGCTATAGTATTGCACCAACTCTGGTGGGAAACTGAGTGAATGGAAAAATTTAGCAGAGCATATTATGTAGTTCATGATCTCAGATAAATATCTAGGCCAGACCCTAGTTTTCTTTATATTTTTTCCAGCAATGTTATTAATGATTGTAAACAGTTTTTTATGACTAGAAGCATTTTTCATTTCACTGGATAATTATGTTTTGGAGATTTGCACTGTTATTTTTTGAGATGTGAAAAATAAACAGGTAAATCCAACAGAAGTAGCATCAAAATTATGTGGCTGTTTCTTTTCATAGACTATGCTCTGCAGAAAAGTGACAATGCAATTTCTGGATTACAACACCAGTAATTTGTTTCCATTCAAAATCATCTGTCATAAATAACTCTTACTCCTGACTAACAGAAAAAAGTGTGTTTTTCCTCTTTCAGTACTAAATTTTTCTTTAGTGGTGTCACCACTGTCTTTTATGTTATTTTCTCATTTTATATGTACAACAGCCTGGGATTATTGAAATAAACGTAAGGCCCATCTGAAGATAAAGTTTTCTTGGAGTAAGTTATGGAAAAGTCGTTTTTGTTTGTGTAATTGTGGACATTTTTATGGACTTCTTTTGCCACTTCATTAAAAGCTTTTCCCTTGCTTGCTACTGGTAATATGCTTTTCAATATATATCAAAATCATTAAAATGTTAAAGACTCAATCGTGCCATGTTTAGCATTTCCCATTGAAATCAATGTTGAGCAATAGATAATTTCACACAGGCATCTGTGAAGCACATTGGAAATGTAATTTGTCGACAAGTATTTATTTTTATTTAATTATAGCCTAGTATGACATACATACATTTTTCTCAGGTAAAGCTGGTAGCATCCATAAATATGTAGGCACTATAACTTTGGATAGTTTTATCTAATTTATATCCAGCTCACATAGCCACAGATTAGGACCATCTGATTTGTGCCAAATATTTGTCCCTAGATTATTTTGACAGCTCATAATAAATGGACCAAAGGATTAAATGTAAGATGTTGAAATATTATATAGTACTACTTTTTTATATGAAAATTACATTTTTAGGTAACTAAATTTACAGGACCCAGTGCAAAATGAAAATGTAGAGCTGTTTGTTCAAACATTATTAAGAATTTCAAAATGACAATGGCAAAGCTTAATGAAACCAAGCATTGGACCTCTTGAGCACAAGGCCTTGTACTACTCAACTGCACAGGCAATACACATACATGAAGTTGCTCTCTCTAGCATTTCTGCTGCTTCTACTCAGGAATATCTCACAGGTAATGAAGAAAAGACACAACATGGAAATCGGTTTATCTGAGCCAAGTTGAAGGTATAGCAGTTCCTTAAGGGGAGCTTCACAGCAAAAGCCTAATGGCTTTTTTCTGCCACTCCCATTCCACGATAGAATATGGAACTTGATACTTTTCTAGTTGCTTGTTCCCCATGAAATGATTATATTGGTGGTTGTACAAAATTGGTCTAAGCAATATAAATTCAGTAATGTTTTCTTCATAGCAGTGTGAACAAAATGCATGTGTTTGACAGCATTTCATAGATTTCCAAAAGCAACATTTTGCATGTTGTGTTAGATACATTTCATGTGTTCAGGTAAGTTGATGAAACCAAAGTACATGTGGTTCCAGAGAACTTTGAACTGATGTTCTCTGAAATAGTGTGCTGAGTTGGTTTGCAAATGCAGAGCAGTGTCTTCTATGCCCTATGGACCCGGACTAGAAATACCACACAATTTTCACATTATACTTGAATTTGTCTTTTTAGGGATGCAAGTTTTGGAATGGAATGGAATTCCTTTAACTTCTAAAACATATGAAGAAGTGCAGAGTATCATTAGTCAGCAAAGTGGGGAAGCAGAAATATGTGTAAGACTGTGAGTTTTTCCCCATCTTTTTGTTTCCATTTTTTTGGCTATTCATGGCTCTTTTAATTTAAAATTGTTAAGGTGGAACCTTTGCCAGTCAGCAAGATTTTCTGTAATTAGAAAATAAAAAGAATGCAAGTTTTATAGATTTCTTGTGTTCAGAATCAAAGTTTAAAGTACAGAAATAATTCAGATCATTTTGTCTCTGACTAATGTCAATAGCTCTCCCCTTTCATCCTTTTATTGAAACACGCTTCATATAAACGAAAACTTAAACCCATTTAGATTTCATGGATGTGTATAGTATTTCAAAATAAACTTACATTTAATCCATAAAGATTTCACCTTAAATAACCATTTTTATCAGCTGACGTTTAACAGCATTGCCAATATATATTTGGTTAGAAGGGTGAGCATGCTTTGAAATTGCTTTATATCATTAACCACTTCTCATTTATCTACTAAAAAAAATATTCAGGGTAGTTGGGGAAAAGGGTCTTTTGTGTCAGGCTTCCTCAAATTCTTCCTTAATTTTTTTGTTTTAATTTTTAGGGACCTCAATATGCTCTCAGATTCTGAAAATCCCCAGCACCTGGAACTTCATGAACCACCAAAATCTGGTAGGTGAAAGCAATCTGCTTTTAACTGTGAGTAAAAATGTAAACGTGGAAATGTAGACGTGGAAGTACAGCTGCTCCTCCACATACAATGGGGTTTTGCCCCAATAAGCCCATCATAAGTTGGAAATATACTTAAGTCAAAAATGCATTCAATACACCTAACTTCTCAATCATCACAGCTTAGACCAGCCTACCTTAAATGTGCTCAGAACACTTACATTAGCCTACAGTTGAGCAAAATTATCTAAAATAATGCCTATTTATTATAAGTTGTTGAGTAGCTCATGTAACTTGTTATGTGTATCACTTTTGCCCCATTGTAAAGTTGAAAATCGTTAAGTCAAACTATCATAAGTTGGGAACAATCTACAATTATTGAGGCAGATGTAGCTGTAGATAAAAATACAAACATAAACATAGATATAGACAAAAATAAAGCGATAGACTGATGGATGTTTATAAATTTATGTAATGGTAAAGAAAATCAAAAGCATTGTAGCTACATTTTTAGCATTCCAGGGAAACACATATTGCATGTTAAACTCATTAAAGAAATGTATATGAAATTCTTGCTGTGTGATTTCACATTTTTACATTTAGATCAAATGTAAGATTAAAATATCACTTATCCCTTTGTTTAGCAATGATGTATTGAGCACTTCCTATGCATTCTGAGTCAGGGTTATTACACTAAATAAAGAGACCAGGGCCTGTTGAAACAATAATACACCTGGAAATGTAAATATACTCTTTGAAATTTCCTCCTTAGAGAAAGTTATAGTTAAGATTTAAAGAAGGAAAAGTAGTTAGTCATGCAAATTAAATTCCAGTGAATAAAATGAAATATTTTATCTTCGTACAATTTTCTGTGTAAAACATTAAAAACATTTTCTGAAGATGGAATAGGAAGCTCAATTTCCCTCTGTAACTCAGAATTCTTTTACTCTTCTGTGATCCTTCTAGACTTCTTAGAAATAGATACATAAAGGTACAATTATTTATGTATTTTTTATTTATTTTTTAAAATGTAGGTGGTTGTATAAATAATATTTTGACTTTGTAATCTAGAATTCAAATCAGTTCCATGGTGTTAAGTACCTGTGAAATCCAGGAACCTATAAAGCCATTTTATTTTGTTGTAGTGGATAAAGCAAAGTCCCCAGGGGTTGATCCTAAGCAATTGGCTGCAGAGCTCCAGAAGGTTTCGCTACAGCAGTCACCACTGGTTATGTCCTCTGTCGTGGAAAAAGGATCTCACGCTCATTCAGGCCCTACATCAGCAGGATCAAGTTCTGTCCCAAGCCCCGGGCAACCAGGGTCCCCCTCAGTGAGCAAAAAGAAACACAGCAGCAGCAAGGTGAGAAGTGCGCCATGTGACCTTTGAGTTACTTTCTAGTTCCTCCTTATTTAGACTAGCAGATAGGAAATACAATATTTTCTAAGATGTTCTTATGTTTCCTCATTTCCTAATTATATACTGGAGCAAAAAAACCCCAAACAAACCAGTTTTCCATTTCTGTATTCTTATGTGTTTTCTGTCATACCCCGAACAACTAAAAATGACCAGTACGTTTATTCTCTATGTTGAATCTAGCTAGGTTTGTGTGCTCTTGTCAAATAAGCTATGACTGTTTAAAAAAAAAAATAGGTTACCAATAATCACACTTTCCTTTTTCTTTTGTCTCACTTTTGACTTTTTATCTCAGTTATTCCCCAACTTTCCTAATTGAAATGCAAGGATATCTGGTGTTAGAAAGCTTGTGTCTTTAATTGAGGTGTAGTTTCAGGAACTTGTGTGGTCCTTCTTTTTCTAGATTCAGTTTTCTTTCCTTGAATTTTAATAGTAAAATAATTTTAAGTAAATATAATTGTTCACCAACTGACATTTTATCCTTTGTAACCAGAGCATAGTTTTGGTGTTAGTAAACGATTATTCGTATAAAGGAGTTGAACGAATAAAGGGTACGTGGCGTAGAAAAGTTAACACATAGTCCATAACTTTGCCAATGATTATATTAGGTTTTTGGGTTTTTTTTTCTGTAAATATTTCACAGAACAAGACCTGGAATATTGCTCTTATTTCTAGGATAAAAATTTAAAGCAAAAGGTGGCAGAACAAGTATATACACCTAAATATTAAGGATCTTTCCTTTTCCAGTTAATTATTAAAACAGGCCAATATATAACATGTAGGGAGACTAGGGCCTTCTTTGTAGAGTGGTAAGCTGGCCTCCATTTTGGGAAATGTCTCCCTAAATTGATGCCACATTCCACATTGCCTGAAATTCTGTAAGATCCGGGGTCAGGTTTATCATCTCTCATTTTCTACAAATATTTCAAGGAAATGTAACAAGTCAACAGTCAGTCATTTTTTCAGCAGTGTGAATCAGTTTACTAGATCACATTCCTGTTTTTAAGGCTCTACTAATATAAGGGACTTACTAAGGAAATGAGAACTTAAATAGAATGGGATGGAATTATAATCAAGTGTGAGATCTTAGAAAGTAATTGCCTGGTACCTCAGTCTAGAAGAGAACAGGAATACCCAACAAAGGAGTATAAGCATGGATTTTCATAACTTCTGTCTCCTAGGCAGCTGGTGTATAAAAAAAAATTATTCCTCTATAGATCTTTAAATCCTATGAATATTTAAATAGAGTACATTGAACCAAAGCGTTCATTTCCTTAAGTAATTGAAAATACATTACTGCAGGTATAAAATTATAGCTTCAAAACAGGCTTAACAAAATGAAAAGCAGATTCATATGGCTATAAAATTAAACATGTATTGAGAAGTATAAGCAGACAGCATAATCTGAAGCAGACAAATGGGTGAAATATATTTTCCAGGCAGTGTGCTCTGGCCAAATAGAAATTAATTTCAGGAGGAAGTTGAAACAGTAAATTCTATGAAGGGTTTATCTATGATAATGTATGTTTTTAATATTACAGCCTACTGATGCAACAAAGGTTGTCTCTCATCCAATTACGGGGGAAATTCAGGTATGAACATTTTTTTTTAAATCATCATTTTGCAATCTTTTCTGATTATTTCCACCCCTGGTCTGTTGAAGTTGTAAACACTTTTAGAACCTTTTCTGTTTTATAACATATAGATCTATAAAGGGAAAAACTACAACTGCATAGAATAGTATTTTAATACAAATATATGTTTTATGAAATCTAATTATATCTGTGGAATTAGATGCCTTGAAACATGCCTGAAACCTTAGTAGTATTAATACATCTTACATCTCAGTTACTTTATATTTCTTGAATGTGTTTCCAACATGACAGATTCTCCTAGACTTTAAAGTTTCTTCTTCAAGAGTTTCATGAGTTGAATGCTGTCCTCATTTCTTCCTCTGGTTAACAATTGTTAAAAAATTGCTAAACAATTCTTGTAGAGCTGTGGGTGGGGGTTGGGGAGAAGGGGTCTGGACTAATTGGAAATTGTTTAAGTCATTTTAGTAGATTTTGACCAGGAAAATAGAAGAAGAAAAAAGTAGTGTTAATCACTCTTTTTAATTCTATGTATGTATGTTTCTGTATTAGTGTAATACATTGTAACATGTATTTCCTACTGTGAGTCATAGTAAAAATGGTAGAAAATTGTGATTTAGATGATACCAAAATGTAATTTCGAGTAGATAAGAAATGTCCCATAGAAAAAATTAACACAGTATAAAATAATAACTTTGAAGATAGTAAGTTCCTGATAAAGGAATGAGAACAGTGAGTCTTAGTGCAACTCCAACACGTTCTGGAGGAAATGTGCATGAAAGGCTTCACGAAGGATCAGAGATTTGACCTGATTTGAGGATAAGCAGGGAGAAAGGGGAGTGTGTTCCTGGAAGAAGAGAAGATATGAGGAAAGGCTCTGCTGCCAGAGAGGCATGAAATGAAGAGGTCGGCTTTGCTGCAGTGAAAGGTTCCTGTAGAGATAAGTTGACTAAATTTGAAAGAACCTTCAATGTGAGCTGAGGGGGAGTGAGCCACTAAATAATAGGGTGATCAGTAAACATTTCGGCGTAAGGAAAAGACTAATTAAAAGGTCATACAGCAGTGGCCAACAGGGAATATTATAAAGGGGCTGACACACAAAGTAATAAATTAAGTGATTGTCTAGGCACTCACTGATTAAAACAAACGTGAAGTGTGACTGCGGAAATAGAGAAAAAAGTGCTGAAGGTGGACGGACACCTTTCTAAGAAGGACCCAGCAGGATGAAGCCTGATTGCTTATGTTCTCTAAGTCTGGTGACTCACTGCTGTTTCCCACTCCTAGGCCAGGCCCTGATCCTTCATTTCAGACAGAAAAAAAAGAAAAGAAAAAAAAAAAGCTAGCTTTTCTGATTCACAGTTTTTTCTTTCTCTCTCTCCCATTTTTTAAAATTTATTTTTATATTTTACAATGTTTTTTCTTTATTGATTAAGGTATTACATGTGTGTCCTTATTGCCCCATTTCCCCCCCCCCCGGTCCCCCCACTCATGCCCGCATCCCCCCCCCTTTTTTTCCTTTAATACTTCTTGCTCCTGGACCAATATTTGTTGTGGTTTTTGTTGTTGTTGTTGTTGTTTGTTCTTAAGTTTTTTTTTTCCTTTCCCTTGAGCAGTAGTGTTTAATTCTATAGTAGAAATTTACACTAAAAACATTCCTTCGTAACTCTTGGGATATTTTTCCCTTTCTTTTTTTAAATCCACTTATAACATTGGCTTCATCTTTTTTTTTTTCTTTTAGCAAAACCTTATTCTAAGTAGCACCTTATGTAGACACCCAAACAATGACTGCCAGCGCTTGAGTAGCTCTGGTAAGGATTACAGGGGGGCAGGCATCTCCTTCTCTCCTGGAAGTAACCTGTGAGCAACCAAGTGTTCCCTAAGGCCCCGCAGAGTAAACTTTGAAAAGCACTGTCTTAAAGAAGCCTGCAAGTTTTCATTTCAACAATAAATGGTTTTGGGGGGAAAAAACACAACAAGACATAGTTTGGGTGCTTTATCAGTTAAAAATAAACTTTAAGGCTGGCAGAGAAAGGAGAAAATAGGAAAGAACTTCTTAAAAATTTGGAAGCTGTTCTAAATCTCAGTGAAATTAATTTCAGAGTAATTGTATATTTCAGTATCCATTGTAGCACAGAGTTACTGCAGTTCTAAACTTCCCAGTGTTCCTCTTCCTTCACAATATTTTGTTTCATGATGCTCAGACTCTGGGCTTTCCTGTATAGAGAAAAGTTATCAAAGATTCCTTTTTTGGCATAAAACATGATAACCAGATCAAAATTATGCTAAAATTAACCATTATTTTAATTATGGAATTTTAGATAAAGTTTGGCTCGTCTGAATTATCTCATTTTCAACATTACTATTACATATCTTTTTTGTATGATTATAAAATTTGTTGGTATTTTTATTTATGGATTTTCTGCTTTGAAATACAAATGTTTTGCTTTTTGTTAATTGGTAAGAACATCAAACAGAGTTAAGTCTTATTCTAATACCAAAAGACCCTTTCAATTTTGAACGAGTAAAATGGATTATTTCACTTATTTTGAATTATGCAGGCTTCTCAAATATTTATTAGAAATATAAATCTTTACTATACAGTGACAATTTTGCAACAGCTATTAAGCATCTTTGAGGCAATGCCTCTTCTTTCCTCTTCAGATTCTAAAATTGAAGAGCAAGATTTCATTATGTTAGCCTCTCACTCTACTAGAAAAACAGCAGAACAGAAAGAAAAGCTTCAGGTTTAACATCACATAATGTAATATAGGAAGAGGTAAATTTTACACCTTCTGAAATATTCCTGCATTTCAGTAGTGATAGCTTTATGTTTAAATAAGGATTCCTCCCACTGCTAATTATTTGGTGAAATGCAAACTACATTTTCTAGTAAGTGTATCAACTAGTTAATTTAATTTCAGAATTCCAATTGTATATATGAACATTCAACATTTAAAAGTAGATATTTGATATTTCACTTAAAAATGCAACTAGAATTCACTGTATGATTTTCCTTCTAAATGAATTTTAAACAGGCCAGGACTTTCACCTCAGAAAAAATGAATAGCACTTTTGCTAGTAATTAAAATGTGCCTGGGAACTCCCAATTAAATTAGACATTTACTGGTCTGTTCAATTTCAAATAAAATGGAAATGAGGATTGATGCATCTTATGAGAACAAAAGGAAATACTTGTAAAATATTGACTGGTAATGCAATTATGTTTTTTAAAACAAAACAAAAATAATATTCACCAAATATGTTTCTGTCTCTTTAAGCTTCAAATCAACTATGATCTTGGCAATCTCATAATACACATTCTCCAAGCAAGAAACTTAGTCCCTCGAGACAACAATGGTTATTCTGACCCCTTTGTTAAAGTGTACCTTCTTCCAGGGCGAGGGTAAGTAAAGAAACAATTTCTTCTAAGTAATGCATCCCCTGACTTAAAAAATAATGATATAATTTTTCTAGTCTCTAATTTCAAAGAGTTTAATATCATTTCCTTAGTTTTACCGAGATGAAATATTTACTAATAAGTAGCAGATGAGGTGGAATTAAAATGTATAATTAAGCCTTAAAGGGTTCTAGGAGAGCCATTGGTCATAATAAAGCCTGCCTCACAGAGAGAGCACATCAGTGATTAGATTCTGGAAACCATTCTTGCTACGACCAGTCAGATTGTCTGTGAAATCATTAAAGGAAATTATTTGTGGGAGATTTAAAAATGACCTTACGTTCCCCCATTTATTTACGAAACCAATGTTCAAGGACACATAACTTAGTACTTTATTTCACAGGACATGTGTGTTATGTTAAATGTTCATTAAATGACTGGTTGATGCATCCTTATTTATATGCATATTTCAAATCAGTGCTTTTAAAATACTAATAAATTTTTTAAAAAGAGTCAGTTGAAATGTCTAGTTTGGTAAATAAGTGAAAATTATCTCTGAATCTGTTGTGTGATATATAAACTGTTCATATAAAGCAAACTCTCTATGGAGATATTTAATTTTCACGTAAAATGCAAATTGCTATGTTCTAATATATAAATCAATACTCAAGGATGGTTTCAAAACAGTGATTTGGACCCAGCAGATTGTTATACCTTATGTGAACAATTTGTATTAACAAAATTAGCATAATGGAAACATAAGTGATCAACAAAAATTTTGGATTGGTAAATTGAAAATTCTGGTTTTATTTTTGTTCATTTTGTTTATTTTTTAATTTAATTTGAGAAGTGACATTCAAATATTACTTTTTCTTGGAAATTTTCTATTTCCTAGCTAGTTCTGTTTCATTTTGCCCACATACACGCCCTCCATACAGATTATTATAAAGTAGATGTCAACTATATAACTTCTTTCTGCAAATATTTCAGTATATGTTTCTAAAAGGTAACTCATTTCAAAAATAATCATAATACTACATATAACCATAATAATTTTTAAAAGTGTATAATGCCTTAATTTCCCCAATTGCCTCATGATATTTTCCTAGTTGGTTTGATGACCTAATTGATATTTATAGAACATTTTACACATCAATAACAGAATACATATTCTTTTCAAGTGCACATCGAACATTCACCAAGATAAACTATGTTCTGGGCTATAAAACAAATCAACAATTTAAAAGCATTGAAATCATACAAAAGCATGTTTATGACTGTATTTGGTTTGTTTGAACAGGATCCAAATTAGAGTTATGCCTTGCATCTGAATCTGCTATGTGTTAATTATATCACCACAGGCAGATCACCAATTCTTTGAGATTTAGTTTGCTTATTAATATTGAGAGAGCCAAGGTAGGCAGAGCCATAATTTTTCATTTGTCAGGGGAATCAAATTAGATAACATTCAAAAAATAATTTGAAAAATGCCAGGTGCTCTAACAAATTCAGTATACAGCCTTTAATTTTATCCTACCTAATAATTTTATTTAGAAACATATTGCTGGTATAAATTAAATAGTTTTAATTTATTGACTTAATTTATAAGATTACCAACTAGCCACATAGTGCAAGAAAAGGGAGTTTTTATTTTATGTTAATTCATTTATATCTTTATGTATTAGTTATTACTGTAATTTGACTAAATGTTTTAAACATGGGTATAACAACAAACTGATAACTTCATTCTGTTTTTGATTTGGGTCATTAGACCTTCAGTATTATTTAATCAGAATATAATGGGATAAGAGGAAATCACTGCCACTGGTATATCTCTATTGAACAGTTGCTAATGAATTAAAATAAAACACTGTCTTTCAGTTTCTATCTTTAATAACATCCTGGAGTATCATCTTTCAAACAATATTAGAGTACCTTTCTTTTATTTATTACAGGACTATGTTTCAGTTAGACTATTACACACTTGAATAAGCAGAAAGGACAGGCCGGTAACATAAATATGTCAGTCCATTCTGGGGTAGCAGGGTAAGGTGGGAACTATAGTGAAATGAAGAGTGAGATTCCCACCTAAAACCATCCTCATGCAGTTTGTCAAACAAAGCATTCCTGCTTGGTGGGATTTGGCCCAAAGGCAGCGAATATGCTACTCCTATTCAATTCCTAGTCCTTTATTAAATTACTCCTAATTATTACAGTGGCTGAGGCCACGGGGTTTTATTGCACTTGTGAGGTATTATTTTCACTTTAGTTAAAATATTATTTTCTGCCTCATGTCATTTGTAGGTTGTGGTATAGCTCCCTAATTATTATTCTCATGTTTTCTTCCTTACTTCTGTTCCTAACTTTTTTCTCTCTGTCTTTCCTACTTCCTGTTGTATCCTTCACTTCTGCTCTTGGAATCAATGCAGTCAAGTCATGGTTGTCCAGAATGCAAGGTAGAGTTGGCTCTCTTTCAGTGTTAAGCTATGCTGTACTCTCTAGAGTTTTTTATTTTATTTTTGCCTTTTCCTATACATGCACCTACAGCTCAACTTGGGCTGTAATTTTTATTTTCTACATGTTGGTGTCTGTGAATTAGACAAATAGCAAATTGTCCCAACCAAAACATTACTAAATAGTTTTAGCAGATGTATGCAATAGAACATAGAAAACTAGAAAATATTTAAAACATAAAAGAGTATGAATAAGGAAATATCACTGTGAAGTTAGGCATATTGCAAGTTTTGTTTGGTTTTAATATATTTTTAATTTCAGAGAGGAAGGGAGAAGGAGAGAGAACTAGAAACATCAGTGATGAGAGAGAATCATTGATCAGCTGCCTCCTGCATGCCCCATACTGGGGATTGAGCCCACAACCCAGGCATGTGCTTTGACCAGGAATTGAACTGTGACCTCCTGGTTCATAGGTCAATGCTCAACCACTGAGCTACATGGCTGTGCACAGAAGTTTTTATTCATAATGCTTACACTAAAATTCATATAGCCTCCCATGTGATAATCATGCCTTAAGTTCACCTGGGTCTTCGGTTACAAATTTTAAAAATCTAGTCATTTTTAAAAGGAATTAACTGATCTGGATGTCTAGTACTAGATGTATAGGTCATCTTAAAGACAATAGTTGTCTAATTTTTATCCTTCACTTAAAACTTGATATGGAAACATTTCCATGCCCCGATACCTTCTGCATGACAAAATGATTGCTGTGCAATATAGGATGCTGTAACTGCCTGTTCTAGAGCATTAGCAACAACATATGAGCATCTTTTGTTTGCCAATAGTCGGAAACTGTTGCATCATTACATGGTCAGCTAAGGCTATCTCTCGAAACATAGCCAGAAGTTTCCATTGGCACATCTCATTGCATTATAAATTAAATGTGTTATTCAGTTAGGGAAGAGAATCTTGTACCATCTGTAGCAATAAGGTGATGAGAATTTTAATCGCACCAGAATATTAATGGTTCAGGATTTGTTGTTGTCAGTGACATTAAAATTTGACATTTTTACTAATCCTGACAAGCTGTGCCCAAAAGAGGCTGTTTCTGATTTTTAAAGGCATAAATATTTAAGTATTTTAAAGAATAAGATTATTCACCAAGTCTTTCTACTGCCCAGAAACTTTTTTGTTTCCTTGCAGCTACATAATTGTGGCAAATAGTAAAATATGATACTGTGAAATGTTGCTTTTTAGGACTGGCTCTGTCATCTCAGGATGCCATCCAGATGTCAGACTGACAAGCAAAATTACTTATTTCAGAGAGATAGTGTCATTTTAGAACAGACATTATCAGTCACTTTATTCAGAACCTTGCCGTCTTTTATCGAGAGAAACTGGGGGGACGTTGTCAGAATGACAGTACCTGTCTATATTTACCTTAGAAGAAAACATGTTTTGTGAGTGTAAATAATGATTGAAATAGTCTAGGCTGTGTTGGATTACAATGTAGAAGATCTAGAAATCACTTTCTCATCCTATATTTCATCTGGAAGTCACTTTTACCATCATCTCTGAGAACTGGCAATGAGAGAAGGAATTATAATGGCAAGGTAATGACATTGTAAGTTAGGCTGAAGAGGCCAGTGAGTAAAGTCTTTAAAAAATCACATTTGGATTTCCGCCCTGCCAAGTACAAGTTGTGAGGTTTCTCTAAAACGACTCCTTTCTTGCTCAACAATAGGACTTACAACAGCCCCCTCCTGGGCCTTTTGTGAAACACCTGAAGCAATATCCCAAAAGTGATTATGGGTGGCACTTAATAAGCTCTCAATAAATGGCAGCTGTTATTATTGCTAATAATATGCACAATAAGCTTCATGTAGCCAATGGTCAGTTATCTCTGGGAGAAAAAGATCAGAATGCGTAGGCTACTGAATTGTTTCAAATTATTTTACAGTACTATATAGAAAATCAGACATCTTTCTTTTCTTCAATTTCAATAATAAAATGAAGTCCTGGCTGGTGTTGCTAAGTGGTTAGAGCATTGGCAGTGCACTGCGGGGTGATGGGTTGGATTCCTGGTCAAGGGCATGTACCTAGGATGCAATTTTGATCTCCGGCCCTGGTCAGGGAGCGTGAGAGAGGCAATCAATAGATGTGTCCCCTTTAAACCTATGTTTCTCTCTCTCTCTCTCTCTCTCTCTCTCTCTCTCTCTCTCTCTCTCTCTCTCTCTCTCCCCCCCCCCCACGTCCCCACCTGTCTCTCTAAAAAAAAGCAATGGAAAAAAAATATATATCCTAGGGTGAGGATTAATAAATAATAATTAAAAAATGTAATACATTTGTCATTTCACTGTTCCAGTTTTTTTGTCTTCTTACATTTTCTCTTTCTACCCTCTGCTCAATATACTCATAAGCTCAGAAAGCCCAAATGTCAGCCAAGATGAGGTCAAAGAAAGACAAAGAAAGAGCCTGAAGAGCCCATGAACTCAGTACTTGTCCCTGTATAATTGAGAAACAGAAATAAGGCTATGTGAGAGATCTCATCCTGGTTTTCTTTCATTACACTTTTGGACAAAGTACATAAGTTTTCCCATTAATGAGAGTTTGCTATAACTGAAGCTGATTTTAGCTATCATGATACCTGTAAACTTAGTTCCTGGCTGGACTTTCTCTAAACATCCTTGTTAGCATGAGCGATTTCCTACATGTCCCATGTAGAGCAGACCCAGGTGTTGTACATATTTACAATTTGAAGGCCAAAAATTATTTCACTGCAATGAATTGTGAAAGAAAAAAAAGTACAAGAATGTTTTAGGGGGTGCAGCCAATACATATTTAGCACAGACTCCTCCAGGTACTCTGCAAGGTTCTAGGGTTAGAGTTGACAACACAGACACTGTCTTTGACCTCAGGAAGCACAGAGGAAAACAAAGTGATGGTCCATAAACACACTATTGCACAGAAAAATAGCTTATAAAATGGGATGTACTCTGCACATCTTCCAAATTGAAAGAAGAGTAATTTTGGAAAAATTATATACACTTATTGAAAATATACTTTTGTATTAAAGGAATATACATATTTTTTCAATAAAGAAAAACAAAATAATTTTTTAAATGATGAACTTAAATTTTAGTTAATTTTATAAAAGGTAAATACAAAGAAACCATCATATTCCATTCTTCATTATCAGTAATTTAAAATTAAAAAGAGAAACTCAGAGAACTGTTTTCAGCTGGATTAAGGTAGAATGATTATGTTTTAAATATCTTTTTCTGTCTGTCTTAAAAGCATATCTGCTTGTGACTGGCCAATAATAAAAAAGAAAAAAAAACAAGAAAAAATTAAATTAGTTAAACCTTCACAGGAATGAAGGTTTAGTTGTTTTTTTTTTATAAACACCATGTCCCATATTGATAAATTGACTTTTTATTTTCACTCCTATTTAGAAAACTTCTCTGATTATTAGATATAGCTAATTGTCCTAATATAATACCATTATGAAATCTTCCCGTGAGGGAATTTAGTGTGTTTACTAAACATGGAAGAAAAAAGAAATTGAGCTCTACTATTTTCTCAACCTGAATTTTGCTCACATTTAATCCCCCTGTTTATCTGGCCATCTTCAACTTGTAATTGTGTAATGTGGAAACACAGCCCATTGGGATCATGCTCAAGATGGTCAGGACGTGATAATTATTTTAAAAAAACACCCAAGTGTTACTAGAGGAATAGTTTTGTCTAGCCATCTCTGCGTGTCAGGAAATTCAAGTGCAAAAAGACTGCAAAGGAATTCATTGGCATTTACACAGGACAGCCAGGACGATGGAGGGGGCTCAGAAATGAGGTGCGTTTTCCTCCATTAATGAGAAAGGCCACAAATACATTGATTCTGGAGAGAATTGGAGAGCCAACTCATTATTAAGATTAAGATACTCTATGAAAATGAACATCTAAGTTTTTTCCCAATTTAATTATTTGAGTGTATCTGGGAAAAAGTAAATATTTATAGTAATTATCTTTAATTCCACAACACTCTTAGTATATACCATTAAGAATTTCCCTAAGCAACTCTAAAATTTACCCAACTTTTTAATGTTTTATATGTACATGCATCTAAGTTATATTATCTATATGAAATATATATATATATACTTAAATATGAAATATGTATATTTAAATTGACTTTAAAAACTTTAAATTGTAGATAAAGCAAACGAGTCACTACTCTAGGGCAATAAACCTAAAGGCATCCGACATATTTTTACATTTTCATTGTGCATTTAACTTAAAATAAGGTTTAAGATGTGAGTATATGAGATGATTACATAGTGATTCAAAACAAAATATCATCTTAACATATCTGCATGCCCCTCAGGTTGACTATGAAGTCATCAGTTAAGGTGAATAATCAAGGTAACTCTTGCTTTTCTTCCGATTCAGTGCTGAGTACAAGAGAAGGACTAAATATGTTCAGAAAAGTCTTAATCCTGAGTGGAATCAAACAGTAATTTATAAAAGTATCTCCATGGAACAGGTATGTAATGATGATGTCCTATGTGACAGATTTAGTATAATATGTGAATAGTAATGACAAAATTATTGAAAGACTAGAATCTAAATTTCAGAGAGAAAGACTACAAAAAAACAGGAAGAAGACATCCATATGCAATAACTGAAATGAGGTTTATTATTTGCCCTCTGGGAAGATTTCTAAATTGACTATGAAGGTAAAGCTGGACATAAATTATAATATGGGTTTTTGAATTTAAAATAAGTTAAATTCACCTGCAGAAATAAGAATCACTATTGTGTTTTTTGGCAATTTACTGAAACCAAAAAAAAACTCTAATCCAAATACTTTGTCTAATTAACCTAGACAGTTTTGCAACCTATAGCCCATGTATTTAAAGCATATTTATCGATTTTAAATTCTATTTTTAAAGATGGGGTAGATTAACAGGATATTGATAAAATTTATAAAATAATGAGGTCTCATGGTACTATATTAGGTTGGAGTACAAAGTCATTGATATTTTACATAATATTTAGTATAAGTCCACATAATTTTAGATAATATTTCAGGTATTTTTATGTAAATGAAAATATTTTTAAGGAAGTAAAAATAAATGAGTCTATAATATGAGTGTAATGAAAATTCATGATGAGAAATGATGTGAATGACATTTTGATTTGAACTGTAGCTCAAGAAGAAAACGCTGGAGGTGACCGTCTGGGATTATGATAGATTTTCTTCCAATGACTTTCTTGGTGAGGTGAGTCTTTGCTTTGCTTTTCCTTATTTGCTTTTGTTATAAACTACCAATTAGTGCTTTATGCAAAGCATGTAATCTAAGTTTATAAGATAAGTACTTCTGGATAAAGTCCTTTGGTAGATAGAATTTATGTTCTAGTTACTCATAAAGATGGATAGCAACCCAAGAAATGGTTTTTACTTTGCCACTTGATGTATTTTATAATTAATTTGCAAGATGAAATTATTTTTTTACTCATTTGTTTTATTGCACAAAATACACATAACAGTCGAAGAATAACCATACAAATACCACCATGAACATTATTATTTAAACATTAAATATGGGCGTGAGGATTTTTGCAGTTCATTTTGTCCTTAGGATATATTTCACTAGGGATGGATGTAGAGTCGTATTGCTGTGTTTCAAAAGTTCATGGAATAATCTCTCTCAGTGTGGTTATTCTATCAACTGACTACAGAGTTAGGCTCATTTATTTTAAATTGCTTTTGATTTTTAAGGGATTACTTTGTCCAAATTTTGTATTGAATTTATTGGGGTGACATTGATTAATAAAATTATATGTCAATTGTTTTGATAAAAAGATATATGATCATGCTTTGAATTCAAATGATTACGTTAAAGATTTGATATAAATTTAAAATGACTTAAAAATTTAAAATGATTATAAAATGACTAGAATTTTTTAAAATGCATTTTCAATTTACATAATTGCTATTCCTCACTGCATCTATGAATGATGTGACATTTTATATTCTTATTTCTTGCAAGTATCCAGAGAAAAATCTTTCAAAATATTTTAAGAAGCAAACTAGAAGAGAAAACAATAAAAACAGTCTATATAAATTCTTAAAGAATCTAACCTAACATAAAATCTGGTAGCATAAGTCAGATCCTGTGATTTTTTTAAATCATATTTCAAAAATATATATTTTTTGTAGTGATCTTTGCTTAAAGAAGTTATAAATTATTGTTTAAAAATCATCTCCAAAAGATATAACATTATATATATGTCTGTGTGTGTGTGTGTGTGTGTGTGTATATATATATATATATATATATATATATATATATATATACCCTTTTGATAGAGACAATAGAACACATTTGTGTAGTCTAGGTGGTATGAGGCCTGGTTTAATTCCTAGAGTCTCCACCTAAGCCATTTGAACCTCATCTGTAGGCCCCATGCTGGTACAGCCACATAGACTAATCTTGATCTTAGACAGGATATAGTGTTACATCTGACTTAATGCCCTATGTTAAAAAACTGACTTACTGAAGTTCTTATAATTTATTATATTTACATGAACATAGACAATATCTCCATTGTGCTGATGATATTCTTTTTTAATATCTCATCAAATCTAAGATGCCAGCAACTATAAATTCCATTATTATTGATGAACCACTAAGAAAGTAAAAATGCTGCCAATTCAACATGACAACAGTGCTTTCTCATCATAAACTTAGTTACATCTCTATTTCAGATGTGAACTAAGTATGTTTTAAAATAGAGGGAATATGTTAGTAATTGCAAATTTTTCATTCTTTTTTAATTTTGTCCCTCTTGTACCTAAAATCAAGCTTCAAAAATGCTAGCCACTTTGAAGACTAGAATGTGTCCATTTAACCAAGTTTTATTTCATGAAGCAATTCTTCATTCTACCTTTTTATAACATCACCCAAAAATGTAATTAATAGTTAAAGATTTTATTCAGTTCAGTTTAACAAAACATTCATTAAATATCTAATATGTACAAGTTCTTATCCCAATACCATGGATGAAGAAAAATTAGGAAGACAACCTCATTATCCTTGGATTTGTGTCCTTGAATAAATTTCAGATCACAGAAAAAAGTAATGAATTTATTATAGCTTAATTTATAAATTATATTAACTTATTGTACTCTTTTTTCAGGTGTTGATTGATTTATCTAGCACATCTCACCTCGATAACACTCCCAGGTGGTATCCGCTCAAAGAACAGACTGAAAGCATTGATCATGGCAAGTCCCACTCTGGTCAAAGCAGCCAGCAGTCGCCAAAGCCATCTGTCATCAAAAGCAGAAGCCATGGAATCTTCCCTGACCCATCCAAGGGTAGGAGATGTTTCAAGTAGAAAAGCTTTTGTCTTTTTGTTCATTCAGTATCTTTTTGAATATGAATGCCTGCATATTGAATATATTTTGAAGGCTGAATTATATTAGAATTATTTAATATAGTATTATGCAAAGGATAAGGAGAAATGGGATATAGTCTCAGATGAGCCCATGATTAAGTTCATGATCTTCGCCTCTCTGACACTCCAATTTTCAACATTTAAAATTGAGAAGGTTGGGTTATATGAGCTATTGGTTCTTTTCCAACTCTCAAAATTCATGTTAATAGGATTTTATAAGATGAACTGGGGTATTTCATAAAGGAAATATAAAAATCCTTAAGAGTTCTTTGACTAGACATAATCATCATTTATACATATTTCTTCTAATTGTTTAAATCCCTATTTTCATAAATATATTCTTAGCCATTACATATATGATTATACACAATTTTGCACCTTCCTTTTATATATCATATCAAAATAATTTATACACTGACATTTACTTAAAACTTTCCTAAATATTGGACTTGAGCTATTTCTATGATTTTTAAAAAAAATAACAACTAATATGATCCTGGCTGGCATGGCTCAGTGGTTGAGCATAGACCTATGAACCAGGAGATCACAGTTCATTCCCAGTCAGGGCACATGCCAGGATTGTGGGCTCCATCCCCTGTAGAGGGTGTGTGGGAGGCTGCCAATCAATGATTCTCTCTCATCATTGATGTTTCTTTCTATCCCTCTCCCTTCCTCTCTGAAATCAATAAAAATATATTTTTAAAACAACTAATATTATTATTATTTTAAATCCTCATCTAAGGACGTTTCTATTGATTTTAGAAAGAGAGGAAGGGAGGGAGAGAAAGAGAGGAAAAGAGAGAAAGAAAGAAAGAGAGAGAGAGAGAGACAGAGACAGGTTGCCTTCAGTACGAGACTGGACTGGGGACTGAACCCAAAACCTGGATATGTGTCCTAACCAGGAATTGAACCTGTCATCTTTTGGTGTACAGGATGACGATCCAACCAATTGAGCAACACCAGCCAGTGCAACAACTAATAATATTTTTAAATATTAATGTCATGCATTGCATTTTGCAATAGGCACATTATTCCCATTTGAATTAGCTTATCCTTTGGGAGGTTCATTACCAATTACTGTATAACACAACATTAATCTTCCTCATAAACTGAGTTACTGCCTATATGAAATAACTATGTAGTATCTTACCTTGATATGCTAAACTTCTAAATACAAATTTTTATTTTGGACCAAAGTATTACTTCCTTCTCTCCTCCTCTCGGAGAGTACATTAAATTGAAAGTAGTTTTTTGCCCATTAGAAAGGAATGAATTTAAGGGCAAATGTTCTAGGAAATAGCAAACTGAGGCCATCCATATCCAGTAGCCAACTGAATGGATGTGATAAACCACTAATACAATGAATGCTATAGATTATTTAGATGGATGAGTTATAGATTGAGTTATAGATTAACTAGAGGCCCAGTGCACAAAAATTTGTGCACTCGGGAGGTCTCTCAGCCTGGCCTGTGCCCTCTCACAGTCTGGGACCCCTCGGGGGATGTCCACCTACTGGCTTGGGCCTGCTCCCCGGGGAATTGGGCCTAAGTTGGCAGTCAGACATCCCTCTGGCAGCCTGGGAGCCCTCGGGGGATGTCCACTTGCCAGCGGGGAGCAGGCCTAAGCTGCAGTCCGACATCATTAGCGCTGCTGAGGAGGCGGGAGAGGCTACCACCACCACCACTGTACTGGAAGCCGTCAGCCTGGCTTGTGGCTGAGCAGAGCTCCCCCTGTGGGAGCGCACTGATCACCAGGGGGCAGCTCCTGCATTGAGTGTCTGCCCCCTGGTGGTCAGTGTGTGTCATAGTGACCAGTCATTCCCAGTCTTTCTGCTGTTAGGGTCAGTTTGCATATTACCCTTTTACTATATAGGATAGAGGCCTGGTGCATGGGTGGGAGCCAGCTGGTTTGCCCTGAAGGGTGTCCCGGATCAGGGTGGGGGTCTCCTCTGGGGTGCCTGGCCAGCCTGGGTGAGGGGCTGAGGGCCGTTTGCAGGCTGGCCACAGCCCCTTCAGGGAGGGGGCTCCTGCTGGGGTGCCTGGCCAGCCTGGGTGAGGGGCTGAAGGCTGCAGGTTGGCCAAGCCCCCCAGCAGGGACCCTCAGCCCATGAGGGTGTGGCCAGCCTGGGTGAGGGGCTGATGGCTGTTTCCAGGCTGGTCAAGGCCCCCAGTGGGGACCTTCACCCCATGAGGGTGTGGCCTGCCTGGGTGAGGGGCTGGTGGCTGTTTGCAGGTTGGCCAAGCCCCCCAGTGGGGATCCTCACCCCATGAGGTTGTGGCCAGCCTGGGTGAAGGGCTGATGGCTGTTTGCTGCTGGCCACAGCCCCTTCAGGGTGGGGATCCCCGCTGGGGTTCCTGGCCAGCCTTGGTGAGGGGCTGATGGCTGTTTGCAGGATGGCCACAGCACCTTCAGGGTGAGGGTCCCCACTGGGGTGCCTGGCCAGCCTGGGTGAGGGGCTGTGGGCCGTTTTCAGGCTGGCCACACCCCCTTCAGGGTGAGGGGTCCTGCTGGGGTGCCTGGCCAGTCTGGGTGAGGGGCTGATGGCTGTTTGCAGGCTGACCAAGCCCCCCAGCAGGGACCCTCACCCCATGAGGGTGTGGCCAGCCTGGGTGAGGGGCTTTTGGCTGTTTGCAGGCTGGCCACAGCTCCCAGCCACCCAAGCTCCCAGTGGAGGCTGGCTGGAAGCAGGTATCTGGGATTTATTTATCTTCTATAATTGAAACTTTGTTGCCTTGAGCCGAGGCCACAGACAGCCAGGGCAGTCAGGAAGCTTGGCTTCCTCCATCGCCTGGGCAAACAAGCCTCCGGCTTGGTCCAGCTCTGTGGCTTCCGGCCGCCATCTTGGTTGGGTTAATTTGCATATAGTCGCTCTGATTGGTGGGCGTGGCTTGGGGCATAGCGGAGGTGCAGTCAATTTGCATGTTTCTCTTTTATTAGATTAGATTATGGATTCCATTTAGTCAGATCAACTCTGCCCTGATTAATGTTCTGGAAGATCATGAATGTAAAAACCTGTCTCTGTGACTATGTGTGAGGTATAGAAACATTCTCAAAAATCACCTGAGATGAGGATTCTGCAATCTTCACTTTTAATATCTCCTAGTGACTCACACGCCTTAATCCAAGAATTCACTACATTTTTACTTACAGGTACTCCTGTTACAGTATAAGCCTATTGTCTCTCATCAGGTCTCTACTAGAATTAGCAGAGCTGCTTTGTGAAACTGTAATATATTCATTCACATAAGGTTAGTTAGAATGTATTCCTCTTCTCAAATTTCTCTTCTCAAGATTGTCATCCATTTGCCTTTCCTCCCCAAATTGCTTTCCAAATGTGTGACCATATTACTGTATGGTGATCAGTTTCATAAAAGAGCCAAAAAAGAAACAGATTAACCTAAATCTCAAGACAGTTTCAAATAATGTGAGACCAAGCTTGACAGGAGTGCTGGGGCAACTCTAACTCGTGTTTTACTCTTTTGTAACCAGACATGCAGGTTCCCACCATTGAGAAATCCCATAGTAGTCCTGGCAGCTCAAAATCCTCATCTGAAGGCCATCTCCGCTCTCACGGACCGTCTCGCAGTCAAAGCAAAACCAGCGTCACTCAGACCCACCTGGAAGACGCAGGGGCTGCTATAGCCGCTGCTGAAGCCGCCGTGCAACAGCAACGCCTTCAACCAAGTAAAAGACGCAAATAAGTTCCTCAGCATGGCAGCTTAATGTTCATCTGTTGCCTTTCTTTCCTGCTGTCCTTTCCTGTTTGCTTTCTGTTTCTGGCACATCCTGCTCACTCTGTTCTCTGTCCCTTTGTCTGTGTAAGAACTATCAGTACATAATTATGCTCTTTCTTATTTAGAGTTTTTTTAATTTACATAGACTGCAGTAAAACTGGCTGTTTCTCCTCTGTCTCCACCATCCATCCAACCTGGCTCATAGTATTTGATAGCTGTGTCTGTGATGTTTGCAGGCAAACAACGTTGTGTGTCCTTTTGTTGTGCACTTAATTATCCTCTAGAATACAGGAATTATAAGCACAGTGGCTGCCAATTTTCCAGGCATTACACCCAAAAAGCACACACACAGGCATTTAAAGCAGATTATACATGAGATTCTTGCATCTAAAAACACTCAAAAATTTGAGGCTGGAGAGTAATGTGACCAATAGTCAAGTTCTAGAACATAGGGGGAAAAGCCATTTCAAGCTTAAAAACTTTGATAGATAACGCATGCTGTAGATTCCCATGTGGAAATCTTTATAGTCTTTTGGAAAAAGAAGTCTGAAGAAAAGCACATGTCTTATATTCTCAAGAAAGTATATAATATTAATAATATGTGACTAAGCATATATAATGAGGCAGAAACCTCATTAAGGAGCACAATCAGGTACCTCCTGTTAGATCACACTTTGTATATGATAACAGAGAATTTATAGGTGGTTTTTTTTCTAACGATTGGAAATCCTTTGAAAGTCAACATATCAATAGAAGTTTAACAATTCACTCATTTTAACTGCCGTATTTTCATTGAATTTGTGAAAACTTAGTCGATTGATATATGAAGACATTAAGTACAGATATTTTTACAGATGTAGATGCACTGTTACTTCCAAGAGGCATTAGCCAGACAATGGCGAAAGATTAACATTCTCCCCATCTCCCAAAGTCATAATGTCCAAAGAAACAGCCAGTTTTAACCCCCTTTAGTGCTGTGCATGTGGTGTCATTTTGGCATTTGAAAACACAGCTTCTTTAAATAGAGCAAAAGATCACTTCTGTTTGCATGACTAACATCTAAGCTGGTTCCATCTGAGGATACATACTCTGGGTTTCCATTTCACCCACACTGCCCCAGCAGCACATAAAAGCGGTCAGTCTAATCATGCCAGGAAGCAGCACAGACACAGCATAGCAGGCGTCCTCCCCATTCAAAGAACTCAGTCTGATAATCTGCCTCCACCAGCCAATGGCAACCAAGACCAAAGCCAGCTAGCCCTCAGGAAGGTGATGTCTGATGGACCAGTCAAGCCAGAAGGAGGTGAGCAGAAAGGCACTATTCAAAGCACACAGCAAGAACATTCCCCAAACGTAAAGCCCTCGTCTTTTCATTTTTAGAGATTGTCTGATAAAATATGTTTACCCCTTTTTTAATGTGCTTTTGTGGGCATGGCATTTCAGGACTTCATCATCACCGTGTAAGTCCCAAGATCCGCCCCATAATATATTGACTACAGTGATTTGTATTTTTCTATGCACTGGGCATCTTTTGACTTTTGTTGGGAAATAGATTAACAGTATTCATATTGCAGAATGGAATGCATGCTACTAACCTAATCTGTTCAAGCATGACTATAAATATGTTGCATTGTGATAAAACTTTAAACTGCTCACAATTCGAGTTAGCGTACCAGTGGATATGTAGATCAGTTTTTGTTACGTATCATTTCAAGTGTAACTTTTAAAAAATTCAGTGGATTTTGGAAATTCTTAGAGGAAAGTAAAGGGAAAAAATGTTAATGCACTCATTCACCTTTACATGGTGAAACTTCTCTTTATCCTACAAACAGACATTTTCCACTCATGTTTCCGTAGTTGTTAAGTGTATCGTGTTGGGCATGTGAATATCCAAGTGCCTGTGTAATAAATAAAGTATCTTTATTTCATTCATAAACTACTGGGTTCTGAGCCATTGTTATATGATGCAGCTTAAAACGAGTGTGTCAGTTTTTGCTTTCTCATTTGATTCCTCGCTATAGAGTATTTATAGTCACTGCTCCATTGTTAGTGAGAGCCATAATAATAGTGATTTGGGGAACAGACCAAAGCTTCATGTCAAAAACATTATAAAATAGGTGGGAAAGTATTTCCAAATAAAAGCATCAGAGCTTACTTAATAAGCATGTAAGTAAATAGTGGAGTTGGGGGACCCCCAGGCCATGCTTCCACTCTTTCTTTCTCCCACATCTGATCTATTTCACAGTCTTCTCAGGGTCCTGGATAGAGGAAACAAATTCTGTGAGCCCTTGCCATAGAGATGCATCTAAACTTAATTCCATGGCTGTGTTCAGAAAAGAAAGCAACTTATATCTGTCCCTCATTTGACCCAACATTTGTGAAATTTCCCCGGAGAGAGTGCCAGTGACAGGAATCAAATGAAAGCGATTATAAAATGATCTTCAAATTCAATTCAAAAACATATATAACATATAGTGTTATTTTCCTCTAAATAGAATAGCAGTGTTTGACCCCGAAGTCTCTTCTAGGCCTAAAATACTTTATTTTATGATTCTATACTTTCCACAAAATTAAAGTCAGTCCTTAAACTATTCTATAGAACTTCTCTTTATTCTCAGAAAAACTACAGAAATTAATACACCCTTATCCCGACTAATCAGATATTTAGGGGCTAAGGAAGATGTATGTGGCAGTCTGAAAAGCAAACCACTGTGATGCTTCTTTAATTAGGTACCTAACATTTTTCAGAATGGGCACTGTCACCCTTGTCTTGTTACTAGGCCTAAGCCTTTGCTTTATAAGCAATTCGCTTAAACATTAGCATAATTCTGAATGTGCCCAATTTATAGATTAGCTCCAAAGCACAAATTACCCTTTCTAGTTAGCCTTGCTAGTGCTTTTCTAAATTACTTAAATTCCTCCTCTGACCTTATTCTTCCATCAAATAAATTTTGTTGATTTCTTAATGGTATTCATTTTCTTCCTTCAAATATTTCATAATTATAAATATCAAAATAGTAAAGTACTTACCTTATTTCACATTCTATGTTTAATTACGATTTAAGTATTACTATATAATATTTTGTCTGATTTTTTTCTAGATATTATTGTTAAAATTTGTAGCACATTGTTTTTAATCCCCTTTCTTTGAATAATGTTCCAGTGGATATTCTCCTACCTTTAAAGTGCTATGATTGAATCTTGAAATCATTTTTTATTGAAATTATAATCAAAAGGAAATCAATATACCATAGCATAGATTATTATTTTATTTTATTTTAATAGATAATAAAGCAAATGCCCTGTTTTCTAAAAATATAAATATTTTATGTCCCTGCTACTATAAATGTACCAGGAATATAATTTTTGCCAAACAACTAGTGGCAAATATAGAATTAAATTTCTATAACATGCCATATAATGACTTCAAAGCTTAGAGAGAAAAAAATGGTAAGAGATGTAAACATATGAAGAGCCATCAAGTTCTTGTTCACTAACTGCAGAATTAAGTATTATTATTGATTTTAAGAGATTGGATAAAAGTCTCCCATCTCAAACCTCACAATTGAGTTCATATAATCCCATCTGCATTCTGAAAACAACACCCTGCATGGAAATAATTCTTCATGTTGTATGAACTGTTTTGTCGTCCATCTTCTCATTTTATCACACCAAGGCGATGAGGTATTCATTGCCTATATTTTTCTGAGTAAGCAATTAGAGCAGCGGTTCTCAACCTGTGGGTCGCAACCCCTTTGGGGGCCAAACGATCCTTTCACAGGGGTCTCCTAAATACATCCTGCATATCAGATATTTACATTAAGATTCATAACAGTAGCAAAGTTATAGTTATGAAGTAGCAACAAAAATAATCTTATGGTTGGGGGTCACCACAACATGAGGAACTCTATTAAAGGGCCGTGGCATTAGGAAGGTTGAGAACCACTGAATTAGAGAGTCAGTGGGCTAGGATAGACCATCCAGCTAGAAATTTTCAAAGTCGGCAATATAACCCTAGTCTTGTTATGAGGCCTAAGCCTTTGCTTTTTAAATACATTAGCTCCTTTGAAATCGAACTCCCCTGATTGCAATAAACACAATTGTCATTTATGTATTTATTTCTCACCCAAGTTCCAACACATGATTAGATGTTTCTAGAAATGAATACAATTTAGACTTGCTGCTCTACCTACATGATCCTCTTTTCTGAAGGCTGATGATTACGCTGCCACACACCACGAAAATAAAATCCTCTCACTGCACAAGCGCAATGAGGTAGGAAGCAGAGTCCATAGAGGAGTCTGTGTGTCATTTCTGCCAAGGGTGACGAAATTGTCCCTAAAGAGCTTTTCAAGTGTTTTTTATTTTTATTTTTTTCTGAGCTTCTCAGCGGATTTCTGCTTAAAGTAGCATAAAATACAGGTCAGGCAAGAATTAAGGAGTAAGCCAAAGGAATTTTTCCTTTCCCTCTGGGGTTTAGTTGCATGCTAGGAAACCTGAGGGGGAACATTAGACAGATTGTGCCAGATCACCCTGATGCCTAAACAACTCTTGCTTGTATTTGGAAATCCCTGCAACTGGCTTTTTCAAGCCAGTTGTTTGGGTTGAACACAGGCCCTGTCTTTTCAGAAAGTGATACCAACCGGGGAAGAGAGTTTAAAAGTAAAGAGGTTTTTTTGTTTGCTTGTTTTGTAAACCATACCAACATGAAAACAAATTGAAGCACTCTGAAAAACCTTGCAAATGAATTTATCCAACATTCAATATATTGCATTTTAAGTGCAATTGGAAATTCCTGAGCTATTTTTGTTTGATGCTAAGATTTTGGGTGAGTTTTAAGTTGAGAACCAGTAACACAGGGTGAATAGAAATTTCCCTTCACTCTGGGCAAGAAGACCTGTTGGGAGGGGTTGGTGAGGTTAGGTGAGAAGAATCATTGAATTAGTTGTG